AGCCCGTCCCTTCGCAGCACACGCCCTGCTGCGCACCCTGCGCGTGGGCCCTGATCCTTGAGATATTTAAGCTAGTATTTAAGATATTTCTCTCCCTGAAACCAGTCTCAACATTTCAGGCCGCTTCCAGTGCCGCAGATTAACTTCACGCCCCAGCTGTGTAAATGCCTGATGCTCTTTCATATATGATATTTATTTAAAAAAAAAAAAAAAAACGGGGAAAGTTTCCAGATCTGGCTGGCTTTCCTCCGTTACCGCTGCTTTCTTAGCTTAATACAAATGCCTAGATATCTTTGCAACTCTTAGTTGAAATGGTTGCCATGCTTGACATACCAAGCTAAGGGCTTTACATGCCTTCAAGCGTCTGGGCTGTAGGCAAATGAACAGATTAAAAACCAAGACGACATTTCTTTAATCAAGCGGTACCTCCTAGATGCAGGAGAAAAGAAGCAAGGAAACATGCTAGCATTCGATCTAGATGTTTATATAGCTGGGAAATGCACACACGCTAACAGGGCACATCCCCAAAACCGCTTTACTGAATCTGCTTTGCTTGGCAGATTCAGAAACACCTGCCTTCGGTGATACGCGTGTGCTCACGTCACTGATCTTGGCCCAGCTGCCGTGCTGCAGGAAAGCCTTCTACAACAGCATGCGAAGCTCTTTCCTTCCTTCTGGCCAGGCCAAAACAAAGAGCTGTTTTTCACTCTTACCTCCACTGCCAGAGTGCAATCTGAACAGCAAAACTGGGTGTCAGAGTGAAAATGAAAAGGGAGTTTTGCCCTAATGTCAGTGCACAAAAACTTTAGAATAGTTCTCTGGATTGCTGGAGATCCCTGTGCTTATGAGCTTTCCTTCCACTTCAAGCTTCAGCTGTGATCCCTCAGAAGAACCTGCCATCCTTTTTTTTTTTTCTTCCTCCATTTCCATGCAGGATGCAGCATGTCTCTGTAGGAAATCTGCACTGTGATGGGAGCCCCCGGTGCAATGTGAAAATAGTAATTAAAATCCCGACAGGAGCTGCATCTAGGAGCTGCATTCCCTGCTTACAGAACATACCAACATCCACATATTTCACCTGAAAGATTTAATAGAAAGCTTTATTTCAAACCGGACATTATAGGCTCGGCACGTTTACGGTCATTTTAATTTCTAAAGCCTCTGCACTGCTATTCTTGAACACTAACAAGTATTTTCTCTGGATTTGCAGGTCCATCCTCAGTTAAACTGGAGAATAAAGAGGATCTGTGCTTTATAAGCAGGCAGGCAGAGGTACAGTCTGAAGAGCTCTTGCTTTAGAAGCTAACTAGAGTTATTATAATGCTAATACTTTCTGAAATAGGCATTAAAGGATTAATAGTTTCTGCAGCAACATGGGGATATGGCTGGTCTAGTGAAGCGCCTTCGGAGCGTAGGAAGCACACTGATCCATTATGAGAGTATTTATGCACCTGCTTTTAATGTAGTTCTGGTGCAAACTACACAGAATTTAAAGGAGAAGGCAGAAGGGCAGGGAAGAGCAAGCACAGAGAAGCAAAGCCCAGCTTGAAATTTCTCTACCAGCTGACTGTTTCTGTTGGGCATTGCTGATCACCCAGCAAAGGCTAATAAGTAACAGCACGGAGGTCGGAGCCAGGGTACACTTATCTACAGTATTTACTTTGGTTTTACCTGATGTTTAAGGTTCACATTTTTGATTGCTCCATTTTGGGGTGCTCCATTGAAGTAGTGCCTTGTTTCTCCGAGATGCCAAGCCACTTTTCCCTCTGAAGTCAGTGCAGTGAATGCTCATTGCTTCTTTCAGCTGGAATTAGAGGTACTCAGGGATAAAAATAATTTCTACAAAGGGGCCTAAAGACGAGCATTGTAATTGCTGGGATTTTGGATGTGAAACTTTAGCGATACCCTCCTGACGTTTCAGAAGCCCTGGCTGTTACAGCCTCTGTTCCTTTGACTGTGGACAACTAGACCTGCCTTTCCCCACAGCCCTAACGCCCTCCCGCAGCACTTCTGAGCAGGAAGCCCTCCAGAACAGTACAAGGCACCGGGGCAGAACTAATTCTTGCTCTTACTATAATGCCCTCTCCTGGTCTTGGAAGTGAGGGAGCACAACTGGGTGCAAAATGTCAGTTGCTCATGATCAAAGCAATTGGTGAGGCACTGACTTTTTGCTTTTATTTAAATAAGGTGGCTTATATAGAGTGTAAACAGAATTCTGCTAATTCTAGTGTTCCCCACTAATCTCCCCCCCACTTCCTCTTTTTTTTCTCGCTGTAGAGCAAAAAAGCAAATGAGAAACTCCAGATCAAACTGACTAAGGATCAAAAATGGACGAGGAAACAGGAGCCTGTGAGGAATCCAAAAACAGAGCGACAGCTTCTTGGAGAGCTTTATGCTGACAAGGCCTACCTAGAAAAGCTGCTCAAGGATGAAGGTCTTTCTCCATTGTATTTAACTAAATGTTCCTTTCAAGCAGGTTCTTTTTTCTTCTTCTTCTTTCATATCCCTGTGACTACTCTTCCTCCTTTGTATCAGAGCTCGCATAGCCCATAGTGCTTGCAGTGGTCGTGAGAGAGGCAGGTGTCTGCAGAGTGCAAGTATTTTTGGAGCCAGATCTAATATTCATAACTATGTCTGAGCATGTTTCCTTCCCTAGTAAGCGGCAGGCTTTTATAACGAACAATAAATCAACTCAAAGCAATCTGCGCTGATGAAATCAAAAGCAGAAACAGTATCATTACAAATTACTTCTGTTATAATGATAAATCCCACTAACAGTTGCATTTAAGTGCAAAGCCTTGCAAGACTGTTAACTCATTTGTGGTTTCGTTATAAACGCTGTTAAGATCAAGATGCAGGATTTGGAGAAGTACCTTATTTTAGAACTAGGCAGAAAGGTGATTCCCTTTTAGTCTTTTTTCCAGGTGTCATGGTTTAACCCCAGCTGGCAACTAAGCACCACGCAGCTGCTCGCTCACTCCCTCCCAAGTGGGATTCTCTCTAACCCTGCCCCGGTGGGATGGGGGAGAGAAGCGGAAGAGTAAAAGTGAGAAAACTCGTGGGTTGAGATAAAGATAGTTTAATAGGGAAAGTAAAAGCCGTGCATGCAAGCAAAGCAAAACAAGGAATTCATTCCCTGCTTCCCATCGGCAGGCAGCAGTTCAGCCATCTCCAGGAAAGCAGGGCTCCAGCACGCGTAACGGTGACTTGGGAAGACAAACGCCATCACTCCGAACGTCCCCGCCTTCCTTCTTTTTCCCCCAGCTTTATATGCTGAGCATGACAGCATATGCTGTGGGATATCCCATATGGGATCCCAGCAGAAAAGGCCTTGACTCTCTGTCAGCACTGCTCAGCACTAACAAAAACATCCCTGTGTTATCAACACTGTTTCCAGCACAAATCCAAAACATAGCCCCATACTAGCTACTAGGAAGAAAATTAACTCTATCCCAGCCAAAACCAGCACGCTAGGGAACTCTTTACCCAGTAATAGAGAAGTAATTAAGAATTTAGCCTACCCACAGGTTTTATGGTATTACTAGCATTAATAATACGTGTGGGCTGTCTGGCTTCCAGGCATGTAAAAGCCTCAATTTCCGTCTTGCAGTCTAATCCACACCACCTTTCAAAGGGCCATTTCAGCACAAACGCCCCATGCGAGTGCTCTGTCCGGGAGGACGGGTGCTCGCCCGTCACAGCTGGCCCCCGTGAAATGGGCCCCTCCTCGGCTCGTGGCAGCAGAGAAGGCAGCAGCTAGCGGGGCTGGGAACACCAGCTCTAGCTCCCGAAAACACACAGAATGGGTCACAGCAAGGGAGTTTTCCCTAACTTCCCTCCTAATTGCATCGGTTCCGAGGAGCACTGAAGACTTTAATTTCTAGGACTATCTATCAGAGCAGAAAAACATTCACAAGTTATCCCCCACTGAACTGCAGCTTCATCCATCATATACATTAATACTCTCCTGGGTTCTACCATCTTTTTTTTTTTTTTTCAGATTTGATGCAGAGCAGCACAAAGCAGGGGATCAAAGTAGCGGACCTGGTTTTGAGTGGCATTTCCTACCTGGACACACGCAGTGAATTCTGGCAGCAGCAGAAGCCTATTTATGCCCGTGTGAGAGAGCGCAAGCTCAAGCAGCAAAGGTGGATCCGGGACAAGAAACGAAAACCCGCTGAGGTCGGCAGATACATTGTGAAGAGTATGGAGGAAATTGATATGTGTAGGTGTCCTGGCTGGAAGCAGTAAGAAAATAACGACTGGCACATATAATTATTTGCTGCAGTAATTATAGACCAGAACAACAGAAACAGTGCGAGTATTAACAAGCAGTAGTAGGCAGTTTTTGGGACGTATTTGCTTTTGTATTCTTCACCTTTCCCAACGCTTTCTTAGATACAGAATCCAACATATTTTTTTCTCAGCTTTTTCTGTACTTGAGGTCTTGCTGATTGGTTTTCAGGACACCACTTCGATATCAAAGGCAGGTAGGCCACTGCTGCGTGCTTAGCAAATGCCTCTGGCTGGTTTAGTAATCAGAAGTTGTTTTATTGAGAGAATGCAGGCCGCTGGAATTAATAATTTCTATAGTTGAAAAATACCATTGTAGAGAGATGAAACAGCTGAAAAACAGTGGTCTGGAAGGAAGGAGTAATTCAGCCACTTCTGGTCTCTCTCGCTCTTCCTGTGCTACGTATTTTACAACCCAGGGAAAGAATTTAGGCCTTACTGCAATTCAGTTCTTTTAAGCTACAACAGCTCGGTGAAGGTAGTGTCAGAAACGTGCTGCGGTCTAATTCCTGCAGCACTGCAGCCCAGCCGGGCACAACGACCAGAGCTCACCAGGGAAGTGCAAGGGGCTAATTTAGGAGACAAAACCCCAAGTACTGTAGCTAGAACTTCACCTCCAAGACCAGGCTGCCCTGCTGCAGTAACTACGAGCTTTCAAAACCTCCAGACAACAAGCACCATTCTCCTTTATTTTTCTTCAGCAAGTGTTTAGTGTTACCAGCATCATTTCCCCTTACTTGCTGTGATGAAAGTGATTGCCAGTAGTGCCGGGGGAGGGTCAGAAGTCCCATTTCCCGGGGGCAGATTCCCTGGAGACTGGAAAGAGGAGTGTAGGAGACGCATGAAGAGCTAGGAGCTCTAACCTTTCCCAAACTTTGAGGCTAACGCAACTGCACTTAGTCTTACGTCCCCAATATCGCTGTGTCCACACATTAGCATTAAACTTTCCTCTCTGTCTCTAGTGCTGACTGGCGGCTCCCCTGAAGAAAGCTGCAAGAAAGCCGAGCGTGTGCTAAAAACAATACAAGGGTGGTCAGATGATGAAGTTCCCAACAAGAACGAACTGATTGGAAACCTCCACAGCTGCATCGGGAATGCTCAGTTAGAGATGGGCCGGATGGAGGCAGCTCTGCAAAGCCATAAAATGGATCTGGAATCTGCCAGGCAGAAGTAAGTGCGGAGAAGTTCAGATGGATGGGGAAAAGAGGAAAGTACCTCTGTTAAAATGTTTTAGCATCAGGTAATGTTGTAATTCTCACCTGGAGATTTAACAGGGCAACGCATTCAGACTCTGCCCAAGTATCATAGACTCTAGTGACTTATTATCTTCACTATTTCAAAAATAAGGAGCCTGAAGCAGATTTTTAAAGGACCTAGACCATGTGGCACATCGAAATCTCTGCTGAAGCAAAGCAAGAGAACACAAGTCCCAGTCTCAGTGCTTTAGCCTCTAGTATACACTTCCTTCTCAGGACGGTCGGGCTCTAAATTGCACAAGTTTTCTGCTACATTTTCTCTTAAAATCATTGGCATTCAAACCATGATAGCAGGCTTGAAATATTTATCTAAGAGGTACAGTTACCTGCCCGTACAGAACACATTCTGCAGCTCTTTCAGCTAAAACAGAATGAAGCAAAACGTAGTCTCAAGATTTAGCAAGAGTTTTGCAAAGCACACAAGAAAACACTGAATAGTTGCTTGAAGTGAAGTGATTTTGGTTTTATTTGTGCCAATATTGCATAGGGCTTTTAAAATGTAACTGACGTTGTTTATCGTCTTCACAAATCACTTTGAAAAATTAATACTGGTTTAAGAAATTTTTGCCTTTCTCCTGGTGATCTCCACTCCCCAGGCCACTTATAAAGATGGGAATGAGGACTAATTAAGGAAAATAAAAGTCCACAGGCTACATTATTACAGAAGGAGCTGACTCTAGCATGGGGCACAGGCTCATTCACAGCACTGGGAGCAGGGCCTCTTACCAGCAGCCTGTTGCAGGAGTCTGTAGACACGTTGCAGACACGTTTTTTGGGTCTTTGCTTTCCTCTTGGACAGAAATCGTCTATTAGTGTTAGGGACCTAGGAGCTGGTAGGGGACTTCCGTGGGACCCTCAAGGCAACAAAGGGAAACTGAGGCAAAGAAAAAAAGGAAAGATTTTCACAAGGACTGCCAGATTTGCACCAAAAAAAAAAAAAAACCAAAGACAAAACTAAACCCTTTTTCCCTGTGTCTTATGGGGTGTCAGTTGCAACAGCTGTAGATAAAACCAAAAATCTACCTTGATTTTATGCCTTTCAGTCTGATATTGGTCCTTTACCTCTAATTCTCAACACTTAGCCTGAAGTCAAGTTGAGCACCAAAGAAAATATATAAGGCTGAAGAAAGCGCAGACCATATCAGGAACAAGACAATGTCAGCTACTACGATTTCTTTTTTTCTTTTTCTGCAGCAACCTGCCAGATGCCGTATCCAGAGCCCTTGATAACATTGGCAAAGTTTATGCCAGAATCGGCAAATTCCAGCAAGCTATTGACACGTATGTAAAATTAGTAACAGAAAAGGCATAAGGTGGGATTTTGAATTAAATAGGTGATGTCTTTTCAGTTTGTTTATTCATACTGCTAGCAAGGAGGGCTGTGAAATTTTTCATAAGAACAGTACCCAGAACCCTTTGTTTATAGAATCAGTAGTTGAAAAACTGCACCTAGTGAGGTTCAGTAAGTGTCTGCCCTTCTTACTCTCTGCTTGAAGTTGGGAGGAGAAGATTCCAATGGCAAAATCCAGCCTGGAGAAGACCTGGCTGTTCCATGAAATTGGCCGATGTTACCTGGAGCTGAATAAAGCTGAAGCAGCCCAAAATTACGGACAGAAGTCCCTGCAGTCAGCAGATGAAGAGGGAGATGTTGAGTGGCAACTCCATGCTACTGTACTAGTGGCACAAGCACAAGGTAAAGGCGGGAGTACAAATTTTGCTCTAAGGATGGAGACAGCCTGTCTGTTCCGCCTCTTAGTGAAAACATCGCTGTGATTTAACAGCCAAAGTAACTGTTCAGATCAAGGCTTCTCAGCGAGACTTGCTCGATTAACTATTGTTCTCTTAATCTTCTGTTAAAATAGATGTTGTCATTTGTCTGTTGCAGTAAGATTAAAGGATTACTGGTCTGCAATCATGAACTTTGAAAAAGCGCTTGAGAAGGCAAAGCTTATTCACAATGAAGCTGCTCAAAAGGCCATCATTACTGTAAGTGGCTCGTTGCAAAGAGGAGAGAAGCTTGGGGCAGCATCAGTAAGTTAGCTGTAGCTATTGTCTAGTGTCCTGCCAACTGAGAAAACATCACTACGTAGCTAGTGTGTTACAAGGGGGAAAATGTAGCCTCTGAAGCAGTTTACATATTAAAAGTTATAGAATCATAGAATCGTTTAGGTTGGAAAAGACCTTTAAGATCATCCAGTCCAACCATTAACCTAACATTACCAAGTCCACCACTAAACCAATTAAGGGGACAGTAGCAACCCCATGCCTCCTGGCTTGGTGGCTGGATCATTTTATGAAACCTCCTGGCTCAGAAAACTTAACCCCAGTTTTGAACCAGTCCAACATATAGAAGGGTGAAGCCCTAGCCCTGCTCAGATCAAGGGAAAATTTTCTTTTGACCTCCCTGGGGCAAGGATCTCACACACACACACACAATACAGCGGTGCCTTCTCTGCGTTCAGTTGCTATCAGCCGCTGATCGCAGCTCACCCTTTTCTGGCCTCTCCAAAATGTCCCAGAGAAACCACTTTCCACCAGACCATGGAAGAACATCTGGGCATGGCCAGTGACCCACGGTAAAGCAGTCTGCATGTTCTGGTAGCCTGCTTTCCTTGACCCGACAGTGGGTTGCGGGTGATCTGACCGCACCCGGCTTGCCAGACAACAGTTACAGCATAGACACCTACCTAGTGGTGATCCCTCCTGGGTGCCCAGAGCTCAGGCAGAGCCGGTTCTCCTGCCAGAAGAAAAATGATAGTGTGAGAGATGGAATCTTCAGGGGAGGAGACATTTGGTAAGGGCTACTAACAGGTAGGAATCGCTGCAGGGAGAAAGGAAGCATATTGGTGCAGAGAGTTTTATGGTAGGAAAGGACCAGGTAATGATAGCAGAGATCTAAAGAAAACAGGAAAAACTTAGGTATGTAACTGCATTTCTAGAGCTTTTTATTAATAAGCCGTATCACTTTCAGGCCTTAGATGATGTGAGCAAAAGCTTCATTGAAGAGCTGAACAAAAGAGAAGAAACGACAGTTTGCTCTCTTAAAGGTAGTTGTCATTTAGACCTCTGCACCCCATAAATATAACAATTCTCCATGTTTCCTGGCTTGGTGGCTGGATTATTTTTTAATGAAAGTAAAAACTAGGAATCATTAAGGTTGGAAAGGACCTCTAAGATCATCCGCCCAACCACCAACCCAACACCCCCATGCCCACTAAACCATGTCCCCAAGTGCCACCTCTGCCCCTTTTTTGAACATTTCCAGGGATGGTGACTCCACCACCTCTCTGGGCAGCCTGGTCCAATGCTTGACCCCTCTTTCCATGAAGAAATTTTTCCTAATATCCAATCTAAACCTCCCTGGATGCAGCTTGAGGCCATTCCCTCTCGCCCTATCGCCGACTACTTGGGAGAAGAGCCCAACGCCCCCCTCCCTGCACGCCCCGTCAGGCAGCTGTAGGGAGCGAGTGACTCTGTGATGCCACAAAAATCTTCATGCCAGCACCGCGTTCTTACCGCTGCCCTTCCCGCTCCGGCCGTGCCCGTGCGGGAGCGATGTGGAGCCCGAGC